TATATAAAGTTGTTTGTTTGTTATATCGGTGTTTTATTATGCAAAACCGTCGATGTTCGAAGATATCTGTCAAGTACCCCGCGCAAAGGACTTGATATGGGTTTATATTACTTAGGAGGCCTGCACGGTTCACCTTACCAACACCGAATTTAGTGACCACAGATTGATTTATGATATGCCATGTCTTAACACAGTAAAGACACGAAGGGATTTTTCTTTTTCATTTTACATTAAGCACATTATCTGTACTCAAATTTTGATTAATGGAGGAAAAAGAAATTGTTACGGCTAAAACATTTTTCAAACAGCCAGAAAGTGGCAAATTTAACGAAAGAATGTATATTTGAAAAAAAAAATGTTTATCATAGATAAAATATTAGGTTTTAAATTTTGTTAATTAGCTTCGAGTTTCTCCATTTTATGATACAGTATTCATTTTACAGAAGTTAAATGTGCTTCCAACCAATCCCAATCCCTATTATGAGAATTTTAAACTATTTATACGTTTTACTAAAATAAAATACTATAGTAAACAATTCTTTTTGTTGGTAGTTTCGTAAAGTGAATAAATCTAACTAAAACTGGGAAAGGTCTATTGCGTGTAATATAAAATATTTGTATTTAAACTATGTATTTACAATTTGATTACTGGCAAGTGTTAATCCTCCTTAATGAAATACGATAATTTTAGTTAAATATTCTGTGATATCGACACTAATTCACCATTTCTATATACTATAGGTGTCAGTTTTAAAGTATGAATGCTTTCCAATTAGTTTTCAAATAAAAAAAATGTTTTTATTTATTAGTTTTTAATAATTTACCTTTTTTCAAATATCCCCTTGAAGCATTACATTACCTAGAAATTATTTGATAAGGTAAACTTTGTTTAATTCTGGTTCTGTTTTGCTAAAGAATTACATATTTTATAAATTGAGCTTTTCAGCATGACAAACCATTTTTAGATTTGAATAGTTTTGCTAATTTAAATTGTGTATTTCTCAGATAGTTTTCCGCGGGATTTATTTTCCACAGAACACTATTCTCGTTTCTCTTCTTTGTTACTCCTTTTGATCGATCATCTCAGCGTCATTTTCTCGGATTGGCTCGAAATGATATACCGTTATTCAGAAAATGGCGTCTTTCAGATAAATACTTGCTCCAAAAGAATGTGACATTTTCTTCACTCTTTTTCTAATTTTCAAACTATAAATACTTTCCTATCCTCATTGTATATTTATGCGCTTGCACGTATCAAATAGCCAATCCGATAATAGCGTAAAAAATGCAGGAGTTTTTTCGTATTTTGTCATTTTTATGTTAGAGATATACATTTTTAAGATATACAATGTTTTTAGCATAGATCATGTCCTTTTGTGTTGTTTTTTAGAGTATATGTGTAATTTATATAAAATTAATATTTTCTTGTATTTTTTCCATCTAAGTGCATTTCAAGCACCTTGTCTAAATAATATATTTTGCCTGATTTTTTTTGTTTTTTTATATGTTAGAATTGAAAAAAAATAGAAGTTTTTTCTGCTTTTTTTTTGTTTTTGTTTTGTTTTTTTTAATAAAAAAAAAATCAACACAATAGATTTGTTCCCTGAGAGTCAACCGTTTCAAAACAGGACAACGCACAACTTTCAGAGTGCTGGTAACCAACAACCTCGTAATAATTGTTAATATTGTTATAGCAAGGCTATTTGGCGTTGCCCGGGATTATTACATAATATTGTTGTGCCTTCACGCAAAAGACAAATATATAGTTTGTCAGCGTAAGCATCAGTTATGAAATGTTGTTTTTGAAGAAAAAATACGCGCATTTTAAGGACAGATTATATTTAATGATTAATTTAAAAAAAAAAAAGATCTAATTTTTCGCAAATCATAAATATCAACGTATTGATTTTAGAAATTAATTCATTTTTCCTGAAAATGAAACTGTATCGATACATTTGTAATTACTGATGAATATATTGTTCATTCTAACGATATCACCATCAACTACGACAATTAAAAAAAAACAAAAAAAAACGAAATAATTTGATGCTATAGTTTAATATTAGCAGCAGTTGATTTTAATATCGTCTTTGAAATCTTTTTATTTCATTGAATTAAAATGTAATCATCAAATCATATAATAAATATCAATGTGTATTTATATATTTCCTGTCTCATGTGTGGCAGGAATGGAGGTAAGTTAGTAAATTTATGAGTAATTCATTTCCTTAGTCATTTTAATAATCCATACAAATAAAAAAAAATTATCTGCATTTAGAAAAAATTAGTTTCCGAAAAATATAAACCATTTAATTAATCAGTTACTTTACTCCTACATTTCTTAAATTGCAGTCTTATTTGTTCAAGCCTTTCATGTGAGGCCGTCCGATACCTTTTATCTATTAAGTGAATGACTTGCTTCAACTTGTTCTTGAAATAGGCTATGCTATCGCCGTATTTTTCGTTTTGTTGCTAATCTTTTTCTTCTGAGGGATATTTTTTATTTCACTGTTATATTAAATACATAATTTTTCATGTTAAAAATTGTGAGCAAGAAGCGTTTTATATAATACCAGGAGTAATCATTGAATCGTAGATACCACTAAACGTCTAAAAACATAAAAGGGAACGGATTAATTAAACGGTTCATTGGCCTCTATTTTACTTGTGAATTCTTTATCTCCGCTTTATTGAATCATAATACATTGTTTCAAGTTTTTTGATTCATTACGTCTCTCTATTAAAACATTCTAACAATTACCGTAATTTTTTGACGCACGAGTACACTAGTTTATTTTCTCTTTTTAATTAAATTTTAGTGCTTACAGACATACTTTTTTTCATCGACAATGTCATGTGATGTGTAATGTCTTCCTTACAGCATCCAATATCTCTTTCGACTATTTAAATGAGTACAAAAATACAAGGAAACTTTTATAGAAAAGTTTCGAAGAGTACCGTCCATGGTTGTAAGGGAACTGCATTTAAGTGTTTTTTTTTTTTTTTTTTTTTTTAATGAAAACTTCCAGCCTTTTCCCCCACAGACAAATGTTGCAAGCCTATAGATATCCCCATTCACTCCAACTCTTTATAACTAGGACTCGCGTTCCTATGTCTACCGAGTCGAATCATTCCCATTCCTTTTGTCTTCCAATCGTAAAGAGGAAGAGCAACCAAGGAAGCTTTTTTTTCTCTCCCCAAAACTGCTACTTTGTGGAACAGGTTTCTGTGGAGATCCTTCCCTGACCACTAAAAAGTTAACCTCTTCAAATTACTATCTATCCTCATAATTCTCCATTTTTTTTACCTTCTATTAAATTCATATCTCTCTACATTGAGTGTCTTTTGGACCTTCTTGGATGAACTTCATTTTTTTTTTTTTTTTAAACTGATATTACATTCAAACGCCGGGCCTTTTCCTGTTAATTTTGGATTTTTTTTTTTCTGTAGCGGAAACATGCATGTTGTCAGCTCGGATTGCAGATTTCTTTCTTATTTGGCGTTAAATAGAATAGCACACTGACACAAAATTGTGGTGCCCGGTGAGAATCAATCTCACAAGAACAGCGATCTTCTAGACAAGCTCGTGGAGCTCTAACCGACTGAAAAATTTTGCTTTTAGATTCATTTTTTGGCGATTTCTTTCGCATCATCCATTTTGGTTAAAATCACAAGACTCGTGTCTATCTCTCCTAAATTTTTCCGCCATTCATTTAGTTAAAATGTTATTCAAGTGTCTTACTTGGCTTTTCAAGTGAACTAGAATGTGCGAAATGATTGGACCTAACGACTGCATCAAATGTGCTACAACACCTCATGGTGATAGTTAGAGCTTTTAGCTTATTTAAAATGTCTTTTTAATATTATAAGTGGTATGAAGTACGCCTAAAGCACCAACTGTACATTTGAAAAGAATGTTCTAAGAAAATGATGGAGTCGAACGGGGGAAAAAAAAACATCTCTTTCGGTTTATCATTAATTAATTTAATAATTAATTTCTCAGCACCAATTAAATTTTCTCCAAATTCCTGCTTAGAATGACGAAGGAAAAGTTAAGGTGAATTTTTTGTTTTATTTTGACTTTTCAAAAAAACCTGAATCGCGATATTTTAGCGATAAGAGTGCAAAAAATAATACATCGTGTTAAAATATTAAGTATATCGCTTGAAAGGTCAAAAGTACAATATAGAAAAAAAATATATAAACTGTTGTAGTGCTTATAGAAATTCTCTATTGTCTGTGCATTTTTATATATATATATATATATATATATATATATATGCACGCACACTTTGGGGATCAGGGAGTTTTACAAGTACCCGAGTTAACAGTAGTATAGGGATTGAAAGACTTCAATATATTTGGATAGTCGCTGTAAGCCCAGACGGGAGAAATGGCTAAGATTTTGTATCACAAAAATACCATTGCACTGGTTTTAATACATACATCGTTAATAGTTAAGATCGACTGATGTACTCATTAAACTTACGTTAGTACATTAGCGTGTACTATCATTTCTATCAAATGTTTTACTTTTTTTCTCCTTTTCCTCCATGTTTTAGTCGTATCTACTTCCGGTTTTCCCTCCATCTTTCTGGTTTGTGGCATTTTTACTACTAAACAAACAAACAACATTACATATATATACTTTCAATTTTATGTCTCTGACCAAAAAAAAAAAAAAAAAAAAACGTTCTGGTTTTTTATCTTTAAATCTTTTATAATTTTTTTTCCTCTCCAAACAGAAAAAATATCCGTAATTTATCCAGGGTAATGGAAAAGAGATCCATAAGAGGCAATTCATCTTTGTCTCTTCCTTGATTCTTTCATAATGAGTTGTTTTTTTTTCCATGTTTCATATTGTCGTTTCTCTTTTCTCTCGTCCATTTTATTTTCATTTTCTCTAAGAATGATTTCATCTTTTTTGTTTTGTCTTTCTTTCCATTAAAATTTGCTTCTCCATTTCTTTTCTGTCATTTGTCTTTTCCCCCAAATTCTCGTTAATTTTGTTGCAATAATAACTGCTCAAGCTCGTCTGCCGACCGATAGAGAAAGGCTGCCGATTCTCTGTATCCTGCGATCAGTTGTTTTATGGTAGCCACCTCACTCGTACTAAGCTGGTTTTTCGAGTTTTGCTTTTTCATGCTCAAATCTGTCGGACCTGGAAATACACAAAACAAAACAGTCAAAATTAAACAGTTCGGCTTTAAACAATAGGTCCAAATTTACATTGTAAACTTATTTCATGCGTAAACACCGAGTTTATATTGCAGATAATAATTTCAATAAAAAGATATTCGCTTGTAAAGCTTAATGAAACTTTACGTTAATCGTTAAACAGCGCTGTAAATTTGATAAAACAAAATATATACAGACATCGTGTAGGCATTTAAATGATTCAGTCTTATTTATAAAATCAGTTTTAGTGAATATATAACTTGTGTCTTTGGGTTGTCTCATTTGACGACGGTTATTCATTTTATATACAGGGTTATTCATAAAGAAAGAGCAGATTTTGAAAATTTAATAAAAAAAAAGACAAATACTAAGAGACAGAAGAAAGATTTTCAACATATTACTGGATAGGCAAATAATTTAAGGTTACATTTCGCAAATTGCAGTACACAAAACGACTTTTCTTGTGGTGTTTCTATTTTAAATTGTTATAATTTATGTCAACTCTTAGACTTCTACAAAATCTGAAAAATAAAACGACAAAAAAAAAAGCATTTAAACAAAATTGAAAAAAAAAAATTTATTTGAATAACTTTTTCTATCTAGTAATCTAGTCTCTTAGGCTTTGTTTTTATTAAATTTTCGAAATCTGCTTTCTTTTTGAATAACCTCATATATATATATATATATATATATATATATGTATAATAATAATAATGTAATCCTTTTAAAGCACAGTTCCGCGCTTAGATTTTCAAAATGGGTGATGTTTATTGTTTTCATGCTTTATAAAAAGAACACATCAGTATGGAGACATTCCGAAATAATTTAATACTTTTTTCTTTTGAATTTATAATGAATTATAGAATTTAATAAGTTTATTCTATATAATGTTTGGGAAGTGATCCATTCTACATTTGTTGAAACTTTCGTGAAACCTACACAGAAATTATGGTGCAAAGACTACTGGAGATATTTTATCACTTTTTGTATTGAGGGACACACACACACACACTATATATATATATATATATATATATATATATATGCATTTTTCTTTAGTCCAATTTTTAGGAATATAACCGCTTAAAGGTATATTTGGCACTATTTCTTTTTCATTCTGTCGCTTTAATTATATTCAATTATTTTAAAACCCAGATCTTCTGATTTAGTTCTAACAGCTCAGTGTGTGTGGAGGAGGGCAACTAAACATCTAAAACTCAACCCAAAACTCAGGTTGAACTCATACATACGATCCATCGCTGAAGATCTAGGAAAATGTTCGATTTCCTGTACCATTCCTGCAAGTACCTCACTTCTCCTGTTATCCTTTCTTTCCTTTGCAAGACACAGATCAAACGGAAATAAAGTACCGCTGTCATATATGGATGGGAACTGCCCACTCTTTACAAGAGAGTTCAAAAGCAACCTTGTAGGCGACGAATTATTTTCTATGCAACTTCTTTCTCACAGACTCGACGTCGCAAGCCTCTCACTATTCTATCGCTTTTCCCATGGTGATTGTTCAGATGAACTACATTTCTTAATTCCACCAGTCATACACGGCTAAGATCCTCCATGCCACGCACATTGTAGCAATCAACCTTCATTCCCTTTATATTCCCGTAGTGAGATCATAGTTCAACTTGAGCAGCTTCTTCTCACAAACCATTGCCTTGTGGAACAAATTCTCAAAAGGCTGTTTCTCCGATCGCTACAATCTTAACCTGTTCGAATCAAATGTTAACCGTTATCTTCCACACATATCCGCATACACTGTACCTCTTACAGGATGAACACCACTATAAAATAAAACAAACCCATAGATGTTTATCATTGTACGCTTTATACGCAGATACTTCGAACAGGAATGCTTCCTCAATTATGTTTATTCATAAAAAGTTTCGGGCATCAATGACATCAGACTTACTTTCCCATGGGTTCATCCGAAAGGGATCATTTCTCAACTAGCATTCTGACTATGATTCCAAGAATAGTAGGCAATATTTTTGCCTATGCAAATGAAACCCTTTTATTCAATTCTATGTAAGAATTCTGACCTATCAGGTTGGTTCATTTTTACCTTCTGGCTTTTGTTGTTTTTTGGCCAATCAGAAGAGTGGATTTAATTTTGCCATTAACCGTTGTATATGTTTTGTGTAACTGTATATTTAATTTTCTAATATACAAAGGTATAGTTTAGATATACGAGACATGTGCGAGTAAAATTAGTTTCTATTGGATTAAAAATTTTATTTATTTGAATTTTTAAAAAAATAATTTTTCTCCTGTTTATAACAGGTTTATTGTCAGGTTTTTCTTCTATTTCTTTTTTTTTTTTTTTAAAGACGATTTTATCACCTGCTGATCTTATGTTGACAAAGTTGCTCGGACGATGGAAATTATTTTTCTCCTCCTTCACAAGAATTAAGATGCATTCCTCATCCTCAAAATAACTGCCGGTAGTGTTTATTCCATTTATCAAAACATTTCCCTGCACACATATGCGAGCACCATTTAGACATATGAATAGAACTTATAAAAGCAGACAAAATATGTTCTTACATAGACTGAATTTTACAATTTTTATCAGTTGTAAGAAGACACAGTTGTCAGCAAAGGAACAGTCGAAGATGAGAACTATAAACTAGATATGTCAGAATCAAGCAAGTATAGAGATTTAACTATCTGGGAAGGTTTATAAAAGACTGCAGACAAAGGGGCACAGAAATCCGAAGGTTCATGAGAATAGCAAAGAAAACTGAACAAAGTATCAAGAAACAACAAAATTGCGTTAGAAGTTAAAACAATTGTACTGAACTGTTATGTAATGCCAGTCCTATATGGTCGTGAATTCTGGAGCATTCCCTCACAGATGAAGAGGAGGCTTGAGGCAACACGTTTGGATCTACAAAAGGATGTCGAGAATACCATCGACAGAGTATGTAAGCAACGAGGATAGAGACGATAGAGAAAAAGAAAGAAAAGGAATTATGAGAATATAAGGAGACAATAAAATAACTACGACATCCTGCGCGTGCACACACACAGAAAAAAAGTCAACCAATAAAAAAAAAAAGGCGCATAAATTAATTTTTTATTAACTTTATATAAAAATAACGGAAATGAGAAAATCAACAAACAATTACTGATACCTGCTGATGTGATAAGTCGACAGGACGATTACATAAAGATTCGTCTACCAATCTCTGGAGCTAAGTGACAAATTTTATATTTGTATTATATATATATATATATATATATATATATATATAAACAGGTGTGCTAAAATAGATAGATTAAGTGACCACCCTGGATGAAAAGGTGAACTACAAAAATATGAAACTCTGTTAAACTGAGGCATTTTAAGAATTAGTTTTGGTTTTTCGTTATTAACGAATCGTCATCGCTAAATACTACATACTTGAAACCATGAGCCCAGCCAAGGTTTGTTATGAGTGCTTGTCAAAATCACAATTACTGAAATCGGCATATCTCTCTAGTCTAGCCTCTCCTCATCCCAAAGATGCTTTATTGGCATTTCACTAACGTGCTGAAGCCACCTCCTACCGTTACACTTGATTGTCGGCTACAAGGGCTGCCTCTGTTTTATTGCAGACAGCGTGCTGAGGCGATCTACCAGATTTGCTTTGGTAATTTGTGTTGCATGGATCATTTCATGAATTTTCTTTTCATTTTTCTCTCTCGTATCGGAGGATGCCCGTCTACTAGACTGGTTAGCTCATGGACATTTGTATTTATTCTACATCCACAGTACCGCTTATACCGCGATTCTGCCGAGCGAATTTTTGTTACGGTGTGTGTGTGTGTGTGCGTGTGTGAGTGAGAGAGAGAGAGAGAGAGAGAGAGAATGAATGAATGCGTTATCTAGCGTGATCAATCGGCCAGCACGTTCAAACCCTCGGTCACGAAGACTTGGGACTTCGTGCTAGCACAACCACTGATGGCTCTCCATCTACCCAGTTTCATCCACAAAGCTTGGGTAACCAGTGGTTTTGTTTTCGGGCACTTTCCAAAGGGTCTACACATTGGGATCGCTTCCTCCAGACCGCTAACATGAAGGATTAAACTTCCTAACAAATCGACCCTGGTGAGATTCGAAACTGGCTCTCATGATCAGAAAGCGAACGAAAAACATTAATTCAGATAAAAAGGATCTCTCTCTCTCTCTCTCTCTATATATATATATATATATATATATATAAATAAAATGTTTTCTTTATTTTATTAGCTAGATGAAGAAACCATTGACATTATGTGGGAGGGATAAACTCCTACATTTTGAGTGTGAAAATATAAGCGAAATATGTTAGAAAATTTCATCTGAAATCCAGAAAATACGTACATAATGTTCAAAATAAAAAAGCGGATATAGGCTAACATTTTTCCCCGGTATATTCTCTTCGTTCAATAACAGTTCTCGTTCCTTCAGAATGTTTTTCCTTATTTTACTCACCTTGTCTTTTTTGGTAGTACGAAAGAAGGACGTTAAAAACTAAAACCTGATCCAAGACTGTGAAAACTATGAAGTAGTTATAGATAGATTGTAGGCATGGCAAATTGGTATGTCTGGATGCATCTTTTTTTTCTTACTCTAAATATTCTTTTTTTCTTTTCTCAAAGAAAGAGGTACAGGAAAAAAAAGAGATGTAAATGGTATGTAGCGGGGTATCATGCGAATCAAAACAGCGGGAAGCAATTATTAAAAAAAAATCAACATTATTTTCCGTCGAACGTTGAATTAGGGAATTAGATTTTCATTAAAAACCTGCGTGTGCACATACGCATGCGCAAATATGGCGCACAGGAATGCTGATACGTAGACGCAGTAACAATGTTTTTGCCGTTGCTCGGAGTGAGAACATACGTGGGAAAGTACACACTCGCCTAACATACCTAGTCGAACCTGCATAAAAGCAAAGCACATCGAGAGTCATGCAAGGTATATGTTTGTGTACGCAGGTA